GCAAATAGAAGATCAATTGATGAAGACGAGAGAATAATGAATACAGAGTAAGTCATGAGGATTATCAATATAATTCTCATATTTTCACAATGAAACGTTTTGAATTCATTAGAAGAAAATTATGAAGTCAACATTGCATATATATATATATATATATATAAAATATCGATTATATAGAAGATGACACAGTGACTTTGTTGCAAATATAAAAATAATAATCTAGAAATGTATATCTGATAAGAATATTTTTATGATATTCAAAGTATCATTTCTTATAAAACTTCATTTATATGCGTAATGAAAAATTCATAATTCTCATAGCATTTGATTTCTTTCAAAATTCGTTAGTTTATTGAGTACCATTTGAAATATGTTGTTCTTAATTCTAGAATAAAGAGATATGAAATTATCAAAGAGAGGAAGTTAATAACTCGTTTTTTTTGTGATTTTCTTTCCTTTGCGATATATGGTGCAAGCATGAAATGCAGTAAAAAAACTAATAAAATACTCAATATCATCGAAATTCTTCAAACAATTCAGTAAAATTTTTTGATAGACTATTGTTTTTGAGCTAATTTGAACCCAACAAATTTGGTTCTATATTTTTAAAAATGAAGAATGTTGTGTAGATTGTATTGATGTTTTCTATTTTTAATAAACATGTACCATTATTATGCAGACTAAAATGTATGTGATGCTAGAGAAACATCACTTGTTCAACATTTCACTAGAAAACAGTACCATTGCTATTTATTCAATAATTTCGTATCCGGTATTCAAAAGTTCTATGAAAATTTATCGGCACGTCTTTGTTTTTTAGTCATAAGTCGTACTCTGGAAATATATTGTACTGTATTGAAAACCGTCTACAAAATATGCTCAAGTATCTACTTTTCATGCCGTTTCTTATCAATGAAAACATTTCGGCTTTCTTATTCGGTTAGAAAATAAGTCAGTCGTCTTTTAAAAATGAGCATTTTATAGAGCTTAAAATCTGTATCTATTTACATAAAAAAGGATAAGTTTTTGTAAGACGAAGTTCTGAGAAAGTCCTTTAAGAAAAATAGAATTTTCTGACGTGTGAAAGTCTGATTGATATTGTCTATTTTTCAAAAAAGAAGTAAAATAGCTGATCAAATTTTTAGCCTATAAAATATCGGTCCATACTTATTCAGAAAAGAATATTTCAATAAAATCTATACAAAATTCCTTATCTTTTATCATAAAAACCTAACTTTCTGATCCATTCTAGGACGAGAAATACGCCTTGCTAAAACCAGCAATTTAATCTACATAATTCGTTAGATAATATCGACAAAACCATTGACGGTTATGTGACTTCTCATGCAACTTTGAACTAAACACATTGTTGCTCTCTTTGTTCTTTATCTATTTCTCTTGAATGCATAAATTCTCTAAATTGCATAGTTGAACACGTACCTGTTTTCGAATAATTATTAGTCCGTTCGTAAACATATTAACGAGTAAACAATACATTGGAGGTCTTTCACAAATAAATATGGCCTTGGTATCATAATGTAATGCAGTGACAGTATTGCGTTATCGATTTATCTTATCAAATTTCTTTGTACCAAATGAACTTTTAGAGACTATTGCACTTCATATACAATGAATTTGACATGAACAAAAAGGGAATTAGTCGAAAAATTTTCGTTGTTCAGAAAGTCACGATGAGCCAACCATATCTCATTTATGGAACAATTTAATATCTACCGACAATTTTTAAACATACAAATGGTATGCTTTAAAATAAGATCTGTTTTTTATTTCGTATAATATTCAAATTAAAAAGCCATTTTAATTTATACCTATTTTGATCATTCATCTCAGACATGGAAATTAATAAAAGAAAATGTCCTGTATTTATTTATTTATTTACACACCGCTTAACTATTTTCTGGTTTGTTATAAGTATAAGTCAGATGACAACTGACGTCATAGTTCTTTTTTTCTTTTTGTACTTTCTCAATGGTTGTGCAATCACACCTTGAGTGAGAATTGAACAAGTATATATATACGTGTTAGGCCTCATCGTTTTTCATCTTATTGAAGTTAGCTTCGTTTTTTTTATAACAACGTATATATATTCCATCCATTTCGCCTCGGTTCCTGATTCGTCTAGAACTTCTGAACAGAAACAAAGACTATCTTATATGATTGGTTCATTTAATTTTCAAACTAAGAAAGACTAAATCGTTGAAAAACATAATAGAGGTTATTGTTTTTTTCCGATATAAATAGCCGAGAGATCGAATGGAATGACATTCATTTTGAATTATACTTATAGATCACGTAGAAAAATACTAATATCATGCGTGACATTAATATTTCACCCACAAATGGTATACACCATATTGCAGCAAACTTACCAACTGTAAGTTTTCTTTTCTTAACTTTTCATATTTCATATATATGAAATTATTTTTAAAGATTTCAAATAATAATGATGTGAATTTATTTGAAAATTATATTGAACAATCACGGGTTCGCTTTATTTTCTTAAAAATTTTAATTTCAATTTGACATTCATTTTCTTTATTAGGATTGTCATATAAAATCAAAAGAAATAGATGAGCCACTTTTACGTGAAAATCCCTCTCGTTATGTTTTATTTCCAATAAAATATCATGATATATGGAAATTTTATAAACGTGCATTAGCATCCATATGGACATGTGAAGAAGTTGATTTAGCTAATGATACAAAAGATTGGTTACATTTAACATCAGATGAACAATATTTTATTAAATATATCTTAGCTTTTTTTGCTGCTAGTGATGGAATTGTTGGTGAAAATTTGGTATGACAAAAAAAAATGAAATTTTCTGAAAGTATTGATTTTGTTGATTTGAATTTTTAGGTAGAAAAATTTTCATCTGAAGTACAAATTCCCGAAGCACGTTGTTTCTATGGTTTTCAAATAGCTATTGAAAATATTCATTCAGAAATGTATAGTTTACTTATTGATACATATATTAAAGATCTACGTGAACGGTATGAAAACAAAAAATGTATAAGAAGTATTTTGAAAATTGATTTTTTTTTCTTTTTTAAGTGAGATCTTATTTAATGCTATTTCAACATTACCTTATGTTAAAAAGAAAGCCGATTGGGCTATACGTTGGATGAATGAAAAAACTCCATTTGCTGAACGTTTAGTTGCATTTGCTTGTGTTGAAGGAATATTTTTCAGTGGTTCATTTGCAGCTATTTTTTGGTTACGTGAACGTGGTGTTATGCCTGGTTTAACATTTAGTAATGAACTAATAAGTCGAGATGAAGTTTGTCCTAATATAATATTAATTAGGATTGATTGAACTTTTGTTTTTGTATGTTTTTCTAGGGTTTACATACAGATTTTGCTTGTTTATTATTTCAACATATAAATCGTAAGCCAAGTGTTGAACGTATTGAAGAAATTCTTCGTGATGCTGTAAATATTGAAATTGAATTTCTTACTGATGCTTTACCATGTTCATTAATTGGAATGAATGCATTAGCTATGGCACAATATATTAGATTTGTTGCTGATCGACTTTTAGTTGAGCTTGGTTTTTCAAAAGTAAATTTAATGTTTTATCTTAGATTATTTTAAAATACTTTTTATTTTTATTTCAGATTTATCATTGTGATTGTCCCTTTGATTTTATGCATAATATATCAATAACCGGTAAAACAAATTTTTTTGAAAAGCGTGTTGGTGATTATCAACGAGCCGGTGTTATGGCCGCTGCAACTGAACATAAATTAGCTCTTGATGCTGATTTTTAAATTTTTGTTTGTTTATTTTTTTTGATCTCTACGATATTTGCTCAGGTCGTGTGTATTTCTCGTCTTTATTCATGTCGCTGTGTTTGTAGTTTTTCCTGTCTTTGGATTTTTTCTTTGTATGCACTATGTGTAACAACTTGTGAAAAGATAAATATATATATATAGATTGTGAAAAACAAATAAAAGAAATTTTTCATGAAATATTTGTTTAGTTTAGACGAAATGAGAAGCGGATGTAATTAAATGTTTTCATTGGGGATTAAGGAAGAAGAATATTTTAGTTTCTTGAGATAGATATCGTTTAGAAGATTTATCTTGAATTGAGATGTTCTTATTTTTAATTTTTTTTAAATAATACACCTTGTTCTTACCTATTCATTGTTCTTCGACGGTTAAGTTGCTTTACTCTTTTGTATTCATAAGCGTAATGGAGTTCCTCGTTTTTATCTTTATCTTGCTCTCTATCGGTTTCGTCGTTTTATTAGACATCTAGAATGAGTCAACAGTACAAAATTTATAATTAAGTTTGCGAATATTATGTTTAGCTTAATTAAACAAAGCCTGAATGTATTGAATAGTTTTATAATTCGTAGCACTATCAATCTGTTTCACCTGAAAAAAAAATCATATGATTGCAATAAAAAACATGAAGTGGTTAGATTTACTTTCTGTACTTTATAGCCATGAGCTGAGATCTACGAAATTTAAGATTTCTGAATGTATTCCTATGCTAATTGTTGAAAAAAAGGATTCTATGATGTCGTTGCATAAAGTCTGAAATGTCGCGCATTTTAATGTAATTTGAATGTTCAAAGAATTCTATTGATTTTACTTAATACGATATATACGAAATTTGACGCGGAATAAGTTAAGACGACCTATATTGCGAAATGTTCTATACGAAAATAACTCATTCGTCATTTACTTTTCAAAGAAAAGGAAAGTACTTTTTTTTGTTGTGCAATAAAAAATGACTCGACTGTTGCTAATTAGAAAGAGTAGGTTTTTCTTTTAACTTACTCAAGCTTACTTGATTAAAGCAAGAAAACGAACGTTTCTTTATTTCTAAGAAAAATAATCCGTCATATTTTTTTGGTCCACGTCGATATGAATCAGTCATGATATATCAGCCTACCTTTTCTTTCATCATATTTCATGTATTTAAAAACACTTTGATTTCATTTACTTTTAGATATCAGAAAGGTAATATGAATCAAGTACTTATTACATTGCTTATTTTTTCATGTTGTTGTTCGATAATATTGGTCAACTGTACAAGACCAGCTGAATGTGAATTATCATATGATACAGGTCCATGTCGTGGAATGTTTCATTTATTTTATTTTAATCCAGCATCGGAGCGATGTGAGCAATTTGTTTATGGTGGTTGTGGAGGTAAAATAAAATGATATTTATAAGAAGGAAAACAACTATCTACTATTAATTTTTAGGTAACAAGAATCGTTTTGAAAGTGAAAAAGAATGTATGGAAGAATGTGGAAATGGTAGTCAGCATAACGGATAACAATATCGAATGAATATATATTATTTTTTGGGAAGGGAGCTTTATTTTAACTGATAATTTTATTATTGTTTTTTTCTTTCATTTTGTTGTTTGTAAATTCTATCGTTTACTATATGAAATAAACTAAATTCAGATCGTATTCTTTTTTTTCCTTTATACAGTGATTGTTAGATGTCGCTGACTATAAAATTTTCCAGATTGGTTATAAAAGAATTAGTAAAATTTGTCTTACTACTAAGATCATCATATTCGTCCGACCGACGTATACATAAGTTAAGAATATTATTTATTTTTTATCGATAATTGCTCGGGTTTGAACGTATTATTATTAAACAATTATAGAAATATTTTAATTCGTTTTTTTTTTCTTGTCATTTTTCATTTCGATAATGATTCTTTATTTCTAGTAAATTTATTTAAAATATATTTAATTTAATAATTGTTTTTCTTTTTATTTAAGAATATTGTAATCATGCCCGAAGAACCAATTCCATTATATACAATTAAAGATGTTTGGGCACACAATGTTGAAGAAGAATTTCGTTCTATACGAAAACTTATTCTCAAATATCCTTATGTTGCTATGGTTAGTATGATTTTTTTTGTGCTTCTTTCAGGAAAATTCAATTGTAAAATAGGTTCACAATATAATAGTTATGAAGTTTTTATTAACAAATTAAGTTCAAATTAACTAAAGAAATTTATTTTTTACGATAGCGTTGAATATGAATAAGAAAAGTAAATATGTAGTTGGGTGGACGAAAAGATATAAGACTTCAATAAAATATTGACTTAATAATTATTACACAATTACATATCTATATCGTTTTGCCCGATATTTAAAAATCCAAATTGAACATTCTGTTTTCAAGTTACAATCTTTACTTTTTCATTGATATTTGTTTTTGAATGAGGTCATTTGGAAATCACCTGATTGAATGTTGGACTTCGATCTTGATTACTGTGAGGAAGAGAGATAAAAAACAATATTATTCATATCCTGGCTGAATAACGCGGACTGAGTCATTCAGAGAAAAGCAGATAGTCAAACACAGTAAAAAGAAATCGATCCTGTTACTCAGATAAAAGCAAAGTCAGCTTTTTTCACTTAAACATGTGTATCAAAGCATTATATGGATAAGGAAGTTACTAAATACTGAAGCGGAAGAAGAACCTATTTGCGAAGTTTGCACTCATGAGGGAATCTTCTTCGCTACTGTCTTACGATTTCAATGATATTTTGCTTAAAGGTACTACATAGTGTTCGAATAAAAACTGTAAAAGAACTCGGGTTTCTATTGATATTTGACTAAATTATCGAACTTTTCATATATGTATTTTCTAGAGGTTCCAGCGTTTCGAAAAACTTGTATTTTCGAACTTTGATCTGAAACTTTGTGTATATAGAGAACCGAATTGGATCCATAGAAAACAGTTAATGTATTGAAAGTCTCATATTTCGTGGAGACTTTGATTAAAACTTCTGAATATTTTATGGAAGCTAGTCTAGTTGAGTTCTTAATATGCGCACCACGTCAAATCAAAATTCAATAATTTAGTCAAATTTCAATAGGAGCCCAAATACTTTAAGGATTTTTTTAATACAATACTATGAAGTGTCTATAGACAAATACTCATTGAAATTGTAGCGAGGACCGTTAAGGAGGTTTTTTCATCAGTTTCCTATAGTAAATAGTTCCTGACAGGACTGCCGATGATAGACATCAGTAACCTTATTCATATTCTCTTTCTTTTAAAGGATAAATAACTCATAGGAGGAGTAGAATACTTGATAAAAGAACACATTGATTGAATTATAACATATAGATTTTGTTGTTTTCGTTTTAGGATACGGAATTTCCGGGTATTGTTGTTCGACCATTAGGAGAATTTAAAACAACAGCAGAATATCAATATCAATGTTTAAAATTAAATGTTGATTTTTTAAAAATTATTCAATTAGGCTTAACATTTATGGATAGTCAAGGACGAAGTCCACCAGGTGTTTGTTCATATCAGTTTAATTTCAATTTTAATTTGGCGTAAATATATATAAATTTCTTTTTTTGTTTTCGTTATTATTCAAATAAAATATTTATTTAGAATGGATATGTATGCACAAGATTCTATAGAACTTTTACAAAAATCTGGTATACAATTTAAAAAACATGAAGATGAAGGTATTGATCCACATTTATTTGCTGAATTATTAACAACATCAGGTGTTGTATTTATGGAAAACGTAACATGGCTTTCATTTCATGCGTATGTATTATTTATATTTAAAATATTTCTGTTTTTGTTTAAATTATTTCTCTTGTTTTTACTCAGTGGTTATGATTTTGGTTATTTATTAAAAATGCTTACAGGAAAATTATTACCTGATACAGAAAATGATTTTTTTGAATTATTAAAAATATTTTTTCCAACTATTTATGATGTCAAATATTTAATGAAGAGTTGTAAAAGTCTTAAAGGTGGTCTTGAAGAAGTAGCTAAACAACTTGAAGTAAATTTTCTAATTTAAATTTCTATTTATTAAAATATCCATTTTTGTTATTTTTAGATTGAACGTATTGGTCCCCAACATCAAGCTGGTAGTGATAGTCTTATGACCGGATTATCATTTTTTAAAATGAAAGAATTATTTTTTGAAGATTCAATTGATGAAGGAAAATATTCAGGACATTTATATGGTCTTGGAAATTCGGCATTTCCAGCTGGTGGTTTTGGTGGTTATGAAAATGATTTTATTAATGTTGTTGAGAATGAAAGTCCATAGAAAAAATTAATCAGCCAACATATGTTTTTCTTTTTCTTTTTCTTCTTCTTTTGTTATTCATTAGCGTTATATTGTATTATTTTAACTGTTCATTTCTCTTTTCATTTTGCTCATTGTTATGTGATGCCATTTGTACAAAAAAAACAGGTCAAGCAAGATTGGAAAAGCTAGAGCCGAATATGAAATAACTTAGATGAAAAATTCATTTTATGATTGAAGATTTTTTATAGTTAATGAAGAAATGCTCGATGCTGATTCAAATAGTCATCTTAAAACGTGGAATACAATGTACTTTATCGAGTTTTGTAACTACAGCACTGTTATAATGAAAAATGAGCACAAGTTAGTTGATAATCATAAGTAGAGATTTGTCGATGCTTTCAAGTAGTTTCAAATTCCACTATTTCGAGATTGTAGCCTGGTTAAATTCTAGTAGCATATGCTAATATATCTAAAACATAAAACTTATCTTGTCTACGTAACTGATAAATTTGGCTTTGAGTGCCAATATGTCTGTATGTGATGGCAAATGGTTCCCAAGTGATAAATTGTTATCGAGCTGAGACTATAGTCAATCGATAGAATCTAGTGAGTAAGTCAAACACGCTAGAGTGATTCGAGTAGATGGGTCTTTGTTACTGAGATGTAGAATTTTCAGTGGATTTTTTCTATACAGCCCTAGTTTTCAAAAGAAATCTTACTTTTGAATTTCAAACTGAAACTTTGTCCACATAAATGCAACGATTAAACTAATCGCTAGGGAAAATATCAGTATTTTCCCACTAAGTTTCTTTGAGATATGAATTTTTTAAAATATCCGTGTTTTTTTTACAATAATCATGGTAAATTGCATATTCTTGAAAACTTTCATATCTCGATGAGACTTAGTGAAAAAATGCTGAAAATTTATCTAGCGATTAATTTAATCGTTGCCTTTATGTGAACAAAGTTTCAGGTCAAAATTTAAATGTATAATTTCGCTTGAAAATTGAAGCTTCTTGGGGATAAAGCCACTAAAAAATCGATATCTCAGTAATAATGGTTTCGCTGCTGGAATGAGTCTAGAAAATTACAGTGAAATTTGAAATTATGAATTTAAACATTAAGTATTATAAAATTCTTGTTAAACTTGAACAATTTTTTTGCTAAACCTACAATGGCATAGTATGACAACGACATCTATTCTAACCGATACCTTCTATCAAACTTATAACAATAAATTAAAAAAAACAGAATTTTTTAATGTAAAAATGAAAAGAATTTAACGTAATTATGTTGATGAATCAGATGGTGACACATCAAACGTATGTAGCTGACCCTATTTTTCCTGCATGCTGATTATTTGTGTTTAGACAGTAAAATTCCAAGAGTTACACAAATTATGGCATCGAACGATCAAATTCAAGATGAAGCGAAACCAGTGGTTAATCCTCCAAAAAAGATTAAGTAAAATATTGCTAATAAGTAAATAGTGAAATTGATATTTCGTCTTTCATTAAAGTCATACTTGGTATCAATCAGAAAGTAGTGTTGTCGTTGTAATTCCTATTCGAAATGTGCAACGAGATCAAGTACATGTTGAATCCACTGAAAATACAGTACGTTTTGTTTTTCACCATTGATTATACAATGATTTTCCAATCTTTTCTATTTAGTTAAGCGTTAATATCAAATTACCATCCTCAAATAGTGAATATAATCTTGAACTAGACCTTGCTTATCCAATTAATTGTAGTCGTACGGATTTTAAAGTTAATACAGCAAACGTAAGTTAAAAATTCGTTTTATTTTTAAATAGATCATTCGACTTTATTTTCTTATATAGGTTGAAGTTCGTTTGTATAAAGCTGATGCTATACAATGGACATCACTTGATGCTCAACATAAACCAAATGTTCCACCAGGTAACCTCATATTTTTATATATTCATAAGTATAAAGTCGAAACATTACTTTTTTTCTAGTGAGTATGAATCGTGCGCCTCCTGTGCAATCAATTCCACCATCGTATCCATCATCGAGTAAAAAAGCTAAAGATTGGGATAAACTTGAAGTTGAAATAAAGAAAGAAGAAAAAGACGAAAAACTTGAAGGTGATGCAGCACTTAATCAGTACGTAAATTTTGTGAATATTGCAAAAAAAAAAAAAAAGAAAATAATTAATTTAATTTCCATATAGATTATTTCAACAAATCTATCATGATGGAACTGATGAACAAAGACGAGCAATGAACAAAAGTTTTGTAAGTCTTTATTATGAAAACTTTTTTTGTTTGTTTTGTTTTACTTTATCATAAGCATATGTATTTACGTATATAGATGGAATCAGGTGGCACTGTATTAAGTACTAATTGGGATGAAATATCCAAGAAAAAAACAGAAGTCAAACCTCCTGATGTGAATAGATATTCTTCGCTGTTACTTTAGAATTCTTTTATTAATTTTTCTATTTCTTAGGGAATGGAATGGAAATCGTATGATGATTAACATATGATAATACTAAGTTTTCCATGGACTATGTTTCACATCGAATGATATGCATTGACTTCTGTGATTTGTGTCGAATGTATTCTTCAGTTGCGTTCAAAAATAAAAGTTTTTAACCTTGTCAAATTTAACTTTTTACAAATAAAAATCAACTTGAATCAAAAAAATAAGATATGATTTTATCTTTAATCTGTTTTATTGATTGCATATACATTGATTCAATAACGGTCAGGCCGAAATTTTTGAGACAAAATATTTGTTTATCTTTGGCTTCGTTGAAAGGGTTTCCGGGAAGTCAAAATTTATGAATTAAGACTAGCATATTGTGTATTTTCTGAATATGGCCTTATAAATTTTATCTTAGTTTTTATTTCAGAGTAGTGAGGTAATCTTTGAACAATTCAAAAATTGAGTTTGAACGGACATTGTGAACCAAAGTTTCTAGCGGAAATAATTACTCATTTTGATCTGCCTGAAAGTATCTCAGACAAGCTAAAAAAATATGGACAATGATCAGAATTTTGTACTCTCTTTCAAAATGGGATTAGAAATATTGTGCCTATTTTTGTTCGAAATTAGTGACAAAATTTATAAAAAAATTGCAAGATATTGAAATGAATGGTGAAGCAATAGATTATTGCTAACCTATATAAAAGTTCCTTTTCAAAAGTGCCAAATATTATTCGAGTCGGTTGTTTTGTCGAGCAAACGCTTCTTTACAAAATTTTATATTGAACGAAGCTGTGGGTTGTACTTAAGTGAACTATAAGCACTTTTTCAAGAGCTCTTGTCTATACAAAAAAATCTTTTGATCATTTTAGAGTAGCTTCTGCTCTACGAGCTGATATATTAATAAAAATTTCAACATTTACTATCGATTTACAATAATGAAAGTACAACAATGTACAGAAAAATTTGTCGTTCAAACTATTTTTCGGATCTTAGAAAAGCTCATCTCAATTGTTCACAAGAAAAAAATTGAAAGAAAAATTCTTAGTCTACCTTCGAAAAGAGTATAAAATTCTGATCATAACCTATACTTTTCGATACATCCGTTAAACCGTTTAAATGTCAATAAAACGCACTATCTAAACTTTTAGTATAATTAACAGATCCTTTTTTAAAATAATTTCCATAGCTCTAGATCGATGAGCGAATTTTGTAACGAACAACGACCTTTATTGATAATCTATCTCATTTTGTGAAGAGTATAATACTTCTTTTTTTCTTTAACTTGAAGCGTCAAAATGATTTTCAACTTTTTTTTATTTCGGACGCCCGCGTGATCTGTGTCTTTTCGATTTTGATTTTCTTCTTGAATTACGTGTTTTTGACTTCGATCGATTTTTAGACCTTCGGTTTTTCAATTTAGATTGACTATTTATTTTTCGGCCTATTGATTTTGTTTGACTTCGTAATCTTCGACTTTTTGATTTCGATGATCGACGTGATTTACGTCTTTTTGATTGTGATCGACGACGTACTTTATTAACTTTGATCTTTTTGTCATTTGACTTGGATCGATCTGTGTGGAAAAAAAAACAAGAGAATCACTGATATTACATTATTTGATTGTTGGTTGTCTACAGTCGAAATAAAAACTTAAGTGATAAAAGAAAATTATAATTTTGATTAAGCAAAATGATGATTCGTTCACTAACGTTTTTCCTTTAACTTTTGCTGCTGTTTTCTGGTTGAACTTCTTTTGTCTTTCTTCAATGAGAAATCAGCTGGTTTTAGAAGATGTTGACTGTCTGTTGATGATGAAATATTAGTCGTATTCTGTTCTATTGAAGTATTCGTTTCTTTAGGCGAATGTCGATCTGTTTTGTTTTTATTTTTTGTATCAGTGTCTGTTACATTCGTGTTTGGCTCTATTTCATTCGTTGCATATTTGAGTGGTAATGATGGCTTTTGAGATGAAGATGATTGAAATTCATCGTTTTCATATTGATTGCCTAGGAATATTTTATTTTGTGTCACTCTATACTGATTTATAAAATGTGGCCAAACATTTTCTTCTTGACTTTCAGAATTCCAAACAAATGTGTTATTGTCGAGCATATTCTTCATAGCTCTAGCTATCGGAGGTAAATGTTCTTGCGATTCATTCAAAACAAAACGTTGATACCAAAGTGAATCGGCTAACATATCGAACGATGGTATGGAAAAATCTTGTTTTTCTTGATCATCAATATTCTCTGATAAAGGATAACTTGATGATTCTGAACATGGTGAACAAGCAAAATTTTGTGACTTGTGAACATTCGTAACAGGAAATAGAGATTGTTGTTGTTCGTTTTGATATAGATTAGAAATATTTGAACAATTAATTGGACGATGAACCCATAGCCAAAGAGCTAATCTAATACTTTGACCTATTCGTTTAACATAATCAAATGTACCTTAATAATAGAAAATAAATCTTTCATTATGATTAATTTATACAATTCTTTTTACGTTTAAAAATATTCTTATCTAGATCATATTGAAGTTTTAATATAGCTATTCGTTCAGCATCCCAAATCGAGACTAATTGACGTAACCGTTTTGTTTCTTCTTCATTTTGCTCGATTTCATCCCATCCATAGTTACGGACAAAATTTGATGTTTTGGATGGTTCAACTAAATTTATTTACAATAAGAATAGGTTCTGAATAAAAAAAAAAAGTAACACTGAATAAATAAAGCTTTATTTCATATCTCACTATTTTGAAAGATACTTCGATTTTTCGGAGGATCAGACAAATTCCACGGTTCGAAATGCTTTTCCGGTGCAAAATATGAATCAACAATATGAGTAAATCCAACGTTTTCTTTTTTAATCTCATCATGTAGTGACGCTTGATTATTCGTTTCATGTCGACAATATGTTTTCATAATCAATGTAATCAAATAAAATCTATTTAATTCAAGGCGCAAAAAGAAATATGATCTGATTGTCACTAATGTGTACAAGTCAGTAAAACATTTTCATCTTTATTTTTTTATTAAGAAAAGGAAATATTATTAGCATCATCATTATCTGATATTGTTATTAGATTAGTTGTTGTTGTTGTTGTTATTGGCGTTCGAGTAATCATTGATTTATTAGTATCAGTTATGGATGATAATGATGTTAATGCGAATTTATTCGATGACATAGATAATGTCTCGTTATCTTTTTTTTTTTGATATTACTGGAGATATAATTAATCAAGTTGATTTTTTCCGATGAGAATGCTTTGAAAAAAAAACATAATAAAACGAAATAATTTATTGAAACTAGTTTTTGCTTTTTTATTAGATTTGAAACTTACAGATGATTTTGAATATTGAAAAAGTTGATCAAGTTTTTTCATAAATGGTAATATTCGTTTTGTTTTGTAAGGTTGTGTAGAAGAGATGTTGTATGAATTATCAGTATTTGTATTCGATATGTTGATATGTTGTTGAGAAAGATGATCAGTTACATTACTCATACTATGTTCAATTTCATTTTTGTTATTTGACGATTGAAAATATACTGATGATGAAATCAGTTTTTCTTCGATTGGTATTGATGATGATAATAATATATTTGTCTGAGAAGGGTGATCTGTTATTTTATTGCATGACGAAAAGTTTTTCAATGATTGATTCATATTATTTTTCGAATATAACTCATGTAGATTTTGTTTCATATTAGATTTTGAAAATAAATCTTCATTATTTTCAAGATTTGTCTCTTGACTGAGTTGATGATTCTTTTCCTTTGATATTATTTCTGATTTCGTTTCTTTATCGAATTGTTGATTTTTAATAGGTACTGAATTCGTCATAGAATTCAATGATGAAGCACATGTTGTTATGTCTATGCGATTTGATAAAATCGAAAATTCGACATTATTTTGTTCTATTTTCGATGTATTAGAAGGTTTATATTTTGATTTCGATACTTGTTCATTAAACTCTATTTCATAAAAATATTTATTTCGACTTATTTTTTCTTTTTCAACATTAGTACCGATATTAGATTTACTTGATTCAGTTGAAACTATACATAAATAAATCTAAATATTGATATGATACTAGATTTTATCTCACTTGAAGATGGCTTTATTATAAGTGGATGTACAATGGGTGACGACATAGCAGAAGTAGTTCCTGGTGGATCATTAATATGAATGGTTTGTAAATTTTCTTGTGATAATTTACGTTTTGGAACTGATATTAGCTTTGTAGGACTTGAAATGATATGTTGATCTAATGGTTCTGAAACATACATCGGCGTTTGAAATTTTCCACCAACAACAGTTAATATTGTCTTTTCATTAATATCAGTACTACATTTATCTCTTGATGTCTCTAAATCGATAGGTATTGAAATCATATCTTCCTTGATATGCTTTTGTTTACTCAGATATATTGATGGAATTTTATTTTCTATTTGAATTATGTTTTCTGGTGTTCGCTCAGATAATAGCGAAGTAACACTATGTAATTTTGTTGGTTTATTACTTAAATCCGGAAGTGATGTAGTTCTTTGCAGTTTATCAAGAGTAACTAACATTAGAAAAATATATATGATTTAATGATTTTGATAATATGTATCAACATACTATTCGATTTTGTACGATGTTCATGCAATTTAGTCAATTGAGCAATAGATTTAACAAGTTGTTCTTGTGTCATTTTGTCTAATATATAACAACTAATAAATTTTAGAAATAAATAAAAATATATTTACTTAAAATATCAGCAAGAAATAATGATGGCTTATGCAGTAAAATATTACTTGTTGATCGTGAATTAGACTCGTTTCTGGATACATTCGGTTCATGATCAATTATATTTGATAAATTAGTTAAAGATATATAGGAAATAGTTTGTTTAATATCTTGGTCGTTCATTAAAGGTGTTTCTTCGATAGCATCAATATTTTTATCATGTGATATTGTTTGACATCGAATTGATGCAGTAAATACAGATGGCTGACAATTTGTTTCATAACACTCAATACCATTCGATGAAATGAATAAGGAATAGAGTCGATTTGCTTTGAAACGATGACAATATTTTATGTATCGATCACGTTGATATTGACAAATTTTATTTGTAGCTATCTGTGTAGATTCATATTGGCTTGACTTAGAATTACACCCAGTAATAGTTACAGACTTTTTAGATAAATGTGAATCGACTTCTATATAAATCAAGAGAAGAAAAGAATTTAAAAAAAAATCGATGTCTGACTTTCTGATTCATTATTTGAATTTTTTCGTAATTCTACTGAACGTTCTGTTGTAAAGTTAGTAGATGGCAAAGATGTAGTAGGTAATTGTTGACTTTCTTTTTGATTAGATAATGAGATATCCACATTCTGAGAATGGTGATGATCAATGGTATTTTGATTTTTAGAGAAATGTTGTGCCATACAAGACAAAGAAGACTGTTCTATTAAATTGAAATTATTATAATAATCAAAAAAGAAATTATTGAAAAGTTGTACGTAACAATATGTATCCGAACGCATAGGAAATCTGTCGTAAAATTCATTACTCATACATAGATATAAGTACTACGTCGTTTAATATTTTTTAATACTTTAGGAATTTTTCAGTGTATTATCTTTCAATATTATTTTTGTCGCAAACAAAACGTATGCCCGGTCAGACAAAATTTTTCAAAAACGCGTTTAAACGCTACAATCGAGAACCGCGATTGTGACCCATTCACGCTCATAAACAAAACGCAGTTTTCACGTTTTTTGCGTTTAATTTTCACTTTCAGAGTCTGAAAACGGTGAAAAATTCAAAAAATGAGCGTTAAAACTCATTGTTTTTATATTTGAGAAAATTATAGAAATAAAGGCATGTTTTAACACTAAAAACTGGAGCTTTTCCACCGTTTTCACACTCTAAAAGTGAAAATAAAACGCGAAAAACGTGATAAATGGCGTTTTGTTTTTAAGTGTGAATGGGTCGCAATCGCGGTTCCCGATTGTAGCGTTTAAACGCGTTTTTGAAAAATTTTGTCTGACCGGGTAATCATCTTACTTACTACGCCATAACAGTGGTTCAAACGATGATTGTACTTCTTCTATATTTGACAGCTCTTGTCTTCGTACACACTAGAGTAAAAATCAAGTCATTCAACAGATTCTATTCAAAAGAGATAAATGGAAATTTTGTTTTCATCAGCATTTGATATTCAGCGTTTTTAGTTTAATAGAATAAATCTATGTTATTATTTTACTTTATTTCGATTGACAAACCGTTTCATATTAAGTATATTGATGGCTAAAGTTGAAAATGAAAATACTACAGAAAATTGTATAGCTTATGCTGTCATCATTGAAATGGCGGCGTTGTCAAGCACCCATGCTGCTTGTTCTTATAAAGTAATATTATACATGTACATTGATTGAATAATGTGTGCACATAGGAATCAAATACAACACACGATTTCGAAATCGCACTAACATAAAATAAGATATTTAGCAAGGCGCCAAGTATCTTACACTTAAGACTATTCTTTAGTGATATTCTTATTAGGTGCATATATAGAGAAAACAAAACTCAATAAAATTTTTTATATGCTATAAAGAAGAAAAACAACAAATAAATAACAGAGATGATGATGTCAAATTTGCTCTTCATAGTGAAGTTATATAGAAAAAAGAGACGAGTCCAATTTTTAATGGTTTTGATATCCATAATGAGTTTCAACAAGACTCGTGTACAAGAATTCATAACATAAACAAAGTTTTCAAATAATAATAAGGATTCACTTCAAGTATACATAAGCAAAGTTTTCAAAGAATAATAAGAATTCGTCTCAAGTATAAATATTTTGCATCCCGTCAGTATAAAATCGACGACCTCGATGTACAAATCAGTCTTTCATCAGTACATTTGCTACCTGCTGAGGTTTCATGTTCTAAGAAACTAGTATCGTAATCAAATCTATGTTTATCTGTTTGTATTAATGATCACCTAGAAAGTCGAACTTATTAGTCTATTCTTTATAGTCCCAGCACTTTACTCTACATTTCATTGATCATAGAATACTCAACTAATATCTATTAATAATAGGTCTAACAATTTTTTCAGTGTGTTTCATCATGCAACAGTATTCAACTAATTGTTGTTGTCTATTTTATTGTTCGAGCCATAAATAAAGAAACAATCACAACAATACATTTATAGATAGAAGATAAAGCAAAAAAAGTACATATGAGAGAACATGATCATGATCAATTTAGATAGATACATGAATGAGTTTTGAAGTTCGCCACTTCGTCGCATATACGCATGAGAGAAAACATAGGAAATTATGTATTACTAACCATTAAAATTGTCAGTCGTTAAAAAACACAAAAACAAAACAAAAACAAAACGGCATTTATAAAAAATTCTATTTGTCAATCGATTTGTTTGTCCAAAATCAAAAAAACAAGTTTATAATTTCCATGAATTTCGCATCATTAAATCGAAATACATGTCATTATCAATCGATGCACTAACACCTGAATAATAATCGATAAATTCGTCTCGTGTTACCTACAAACAATAATTGAAGGAGATTTTCAAATACGAAAAAAACGCATGAATACTTACAACACCATCCTTATGATTGCCATAATCAAAACAATCAAGAAAGTGTCTCAATACCTGGTCTTCACTCCATTCGCCATTCATATATTTTGGATGATTCTTCACTATATAAAGACCCCGTAAATCGTCAACAGTTATTTGACCATCATGATTTCTATAAATAAATGTAAATATTCCCTAAGTTAAAAGGATATTTTTATTTCTACATACTTATCAAGTTTAGCAAATGCTTTAGCAATCAAATCAAGACGAAAATTATTCATTGGTGGCTAGAATATTGATATGAAAAGCATTATGTGACATATGATTTCGTTTCTTTCATATTTCTAAACATACTCTTAATCGGCGCAGAAATTCTTCATAATCAATGTGACCACTTTGATCAATATCCATAATACGAAAAAGGTCTTCAATTTCAGCTTTTGAAAAATTCAGACCATATTCTTCAACACCTTTTTTGAATTCATCGAAGGTCAACTTTTTACTTTTGTCATCATCCATAATACGAAATAAACTACAATAGAAATGAGAAATATAGAAACATACATGAATAAGAATCTGATTTGATTTTCAACTAGATTCAGCCGCAGGCAAGAATAAATTATTCAAAGTAGTTGTTAGCAAAATATTTGTATAAGTAGAAAATCTTGGTATATAAGAAATACGTACATGGATAATCCTTTAATTCCTTGTGCTCCTCGAGCCAAGCATGCTGCACGTAAACGCTCTAACGGATCTTTTGTCGTTGCTAATGTATGTTTTGATTGTATTTCGAGTTCTTTTTGGAGACGCCTTGTAGCTGACATGCTGTAAAGGTGAAGAATAAAACAATTGCTATATGCTTTGATCTAAAATATATCTAGTATGGAATGAATATATAGACTATTTACAAGGCATATATATATATGTATAAATGCACTTTCTCTCTTTTTGGATAACAAATAACTATTGTAGCACGGTTTGTGCTGTTTGAATAAATTGTGCTGGTGACATCACCATGCAACGATTTTAAATGAAAAAAGTTGCTATGGTAACAGTCACAAACATTAATAACTTTCATGAATTTCTTTTATTATTAATATATTTTGAAAATTTTCGTATATTCTGTCTTGAAATTAAAAAAAGTTTTGTTTTTTTCTGCAGAAAAAATGAACCAATTATTGAGCAACAGGTGAAGCGCTACTGTCCATTCTCAAGAAAACAACGGTCAGATTCATGATCAAGTCTTTGTTATCGTGCACGATTGGGTTATATTTACTAACTGGCCACCGGAGGCTTAATGGTGACATATACGATAAAAATTATTCGATACTTTGAAAAAATTTTTGTTGACCATAATTCATCATTTTGATCGATAGAGCTTAACAGTTGAATCACACATTAATTTGACTCACGTTATTACTCATACGGAATAATTAAGAGCGTCATCTGTGGGAGATCATTAAATTATGATAAAAACTCATTTTCTATATTTGACCTTATTTATTCTATATTTAGATTATTTGATATAAACATATTCATCTTTATTCTTATTCTTTCTACGTATATAAGTTTTTCTATCGATCTCTTATCTAAAACAATTAATATGGCAGCAGCAATGGCATATTGCACAAATAGTGCTTTCTATCAGCATTCATTCACTAAAGCAAGAACACAGTTTACACCAGTTCCTCGTCGAGCAACTTTATCACCATCAGCATCTGCTGGTTCTACTGTTTCAATACCACATATTGAACAACCATCCATTACAAAAACAATAAAAAGTGATGAAAATAACAATAGCCATCAAATTGAGACTACAGATATAGCAAATATCAATGATATTCTTGATGTTACAAGTGATGATGATGTCGATGGCATTGGCGACGACAATCAATTAGTGAATGATATTGATGAAGAACAATTTCTAGCATTTGTTGGTCTTCGTCGTAAGACTAAGAAGCCAATTGTACGTAAACTGAATTTAAGATCATTAACAAAACGATTGGCATGTCCAGTATGTCTACTTCCACTACCAAAATATAGTGAACGTGTTCGACAAGCTTTATATATTCGACTACCATTCTTAAAATTTTTAACAATTACATGTGATATTGAAAGTTTTTGTTCAACGGATGAAAATGCAAAAGCTCAAAGTCTTCTACCACGTTCAGCAACACAAACACGTGCTTTGTCAGCATTAAATCGAAGTAAAAGAAAACAGAAATCGCCAAAAAAAGGTAAATATAAAATAAATGAACATTTCCACACAGTGAAATTTTAAAAATTATAATAATTTAATAAGAGGAAAGCATGTATAATATTTAAAAGTGATGACAAACAATAACAATAACAAACAAAGAATGATATCATGAAGTGAATTTTTTCACGGAAAAGGACATTCAACTGAAATGAAATCAGCCTATGATCGATTGAGTTTGAGAAAATGACGCTTCAAGTTGTATCTTTGAAAGAAAACTGAATAAAAAATTTTAGTATGAAAATCAGTTTAGATTTTTCTTGAAAATTGAGAGTAATACGTTCATAAACATCTTTCATTGATCTTGGCGATGTCTAAAGTAGAGAAGTTGATTCATTTACAGCTTATCGCACCTTAGAAGTTTACTAATTCATTCTAATTCATGTTTTGTCCATTGTTACTTTATCTCCTACGCATATAGTACTTCGTGACTTTTGATCATCCTTCTTTTGAGTATTTCTATACGGTCAATATCTTCATTTAGCCGATGTGAATAAAAATTTACACATGAGGACTTACATGTATTGCATTGGTATAGCTGACGCTTTCATCTACCTGACATTCTTTATATTACATAACTTCAATGACAGTTTACATAATAATTTTTCGTACGACACCTATTAGAAACCTGTCAATATATTTGTAAAGTTGACCAATTAGAGTTCAGGAATAAATGTACGAATCTGATCTAACATATGAATAACTAATTGAAAAAAATAAACTTATTATGATTTACCATAGTTAATGTCTTAATGCTGACTGTTTTTGACAGAATTTATATTTAAACTTTCTACAATATCATAAATTTTATAATTATTATCAATAACGTTGATTTTTTCTAATTTGTAATTAACAAGTTTTATAAACGGGTAACTAGAAAAGATGGTTGTTGTGAAGGTTCAATTTATTATTATTTTTTTTTGGCAGTTAGAAAAGTAAATCATATTTTATTTTATACAGACTTAATCAACATGACGCCTAGAACATCTCGTAATAATACAAGTAAATTCTCAATGAGTAACCATGTTAATTCAAGTCTTCAATGCCATGTTGTTCTCGATCGTTTGGAACAATCAACAATTGATGAAATAATACAAAATTTGACTGAAGATAATGACAAAAACATTGCACTAAAAGTTCGTATTATCGGAGAAAATAAAATTTATTTTACCTAGAATATTTATTTTTATCATAGTCAACACCAGATCGATCATTACGTAAAGCTTGTAAAGCTCGTCGATCATTATCAATAGCCAGAAATAAAACAACAACCACAACAACACGAACAACTATAACAACAATGACAACAGAAAAAACGATTGTTAAACGTAAATCGACAGCAGCAGAAATCGTTAAGCCAAAACGATTTAAATCAATAAATAATAATTGTGCTACTATAAATGATAATGGTACAAAAAATGATTCATCTTCATCCATATATCAACGTATTTATTTAAAATGTTTTGTTTGTTCAAAACGTGAATATGTTGATGCACAAGTAACAAATAGTGATGCTTTACATTCTCATTGGCTTGAACATGATAAAGATTTATTATTAAATATCTATGATACCGAAATAGATTCAATTTTAACACGTGTTGTGGAATTTTTCAATTTACCTAAACAACATATATTGGAAGGGAAAATTAAAACAATCTTTATGCTTAATTCAAAAGAAATACGACTTACGTCAACAACTAACTTATCTTCAAATGATTCATATATTGTTATTGATTAAGTATGTATGCATATATAATATATATATACATACATATTGTTAAATTTGAAAAATATGCAAGTTTTTCTCAGGGATTGAATCAGCATAGTTTTTTTTTTGTTTAATATATTTTTTGTTTTGTTTTGTTTTGTTGTGTTCTCTTTATCTATCTGAAAAAACGCACAAATATTTGTTACGTATCTATTTTTTCTGCTCGTGTATATGTGCGATGTTTTGTCTACAACGAACAAATGATGGATGTTCATGCGGAGCTTTTTCTTTCTTCCGTTTGATTCTTTTCTTCTCTTTCGTTTATGAAAATTTGAAAACTAAAAGAGCTAACATGTGTGTAAATAGAAAATAATATTGAAGAGATTTTTTTTCGTGTCATCGGATATCAATGAGAAATCGCACATGCTTATACATACATATATATATGTCGTAGGACAGATTGAAATTCAGTTCAGATTAAAATATTTTGATCTGAACTAGTTCAGTTTAAAATCTTCCTAGTTCACTTTAAAATAATTTTGATCTCAACTAGGAAGATTTTAAACTGAACTAGTTCAGATCAAAGATATTTTAATCTGAACTGAATTTCAATCTGTCCTACGACATATATATATATATATTTGTATCGAATGCTGCTCAATATGACTTATTTTGTATCATTTAATATTAGTTTTTCTTTTCTCTTGACTCACATTAACCAAACAATCTTCAATTTTCAAAGCAAAATTTTTGTATTCCAAGGTAAAACAAAGAATACATTTTTTTATTTTGATAATATTTTTTTAATAGCAGGATACAATAAAATAACATCATCGACTATTGTCAAATAAATTCACGTATGCATGCATTTAAAAATAGTGTTATCGATGTCTTCTTGCACCTTTAAGAAAACAGATAGAATTCACATGTAGTCATACTCATATCTATCTTATGTAATCTTTTTTTCTTACGTTGTTCTTAAGTTCTTCGCGTGTATCGCTTTCAAAGAACATTCTTTGTTATACTCAACGAAATAAACAACGTAAACTAATTGGCTTAATTTCTTTTTTTGTATGCTTCTCATTATAAAAAAATACAGATAATCAGCAAATCTTCATGTTTTTAGTTAACTTGTAATTGTAGATTATCTAAATTTTGAATAGAAATTTTCGCCATTTTACAACTATCACATGCACAAAAGTTTTTGTGGATTCTCTTCTTCTTTTAGCAAAATTGAAAGCTAACCAATGAAGTTTCATTATTGAGTTGGCAATCAGAGGTAGTAGTATTTTCTTTTTTCTATCCTTTAGTATCGAACGTTTGTGCGCGTATTTATGTGGACATTATAATTTTAAACGGCTGCTCCTTTTTCTCACCTTGTGTAAATACGAATAAGTGGTTGTTTCAAGCAAAAGAAGCATGGCAAAATCTTTTTTTCGTAATGTTACTGATCAAATAACAGGTAGTAGTGGTAAAACGACGGATGCACAAATATTACAAGCTCTTAATCATTTCGAAGATGAACATTTAAAACTACAGAAATTTAAGCGTGAATTTGATAAATATACTCAAGCTATACTAGTATTCGACAATGCATCATTCCGCTTTTTTGATGTTATTCGTTCACTTACCGATCCCTCATGGTCTCAGCAACAAACACTTGATCAATTATGTGTCGATATAGGACGTACTCGTAATGAACATTTACAACATTTAAATAAACAGATTATTTCTAATATTAATACAACCTTCGATATATTTGAAAAAATGAAAGGTCATATTGGTGAACAATGTCGTATACAACATGATTATGATAAAACACGTAGACAATATCTAGCAAGTATGAGACGTGAAGAGCAAACCAAAGTCGATCGTATAAAAAATGAATTAGATCATTTGAAATCTGCATTAAATTTAATAAATTGTGAATTGCGTGATGATTTAGGCAAATTCCATCTTGATCTTCAAAGTCATAATAGAAAAACTGTAATAGAATTATTTGGTATACATGGTAATTTTTATAAAAATTCTCATAAACTATGTTCAAATTTTGTTGAAAAACTTCAAGGAAATCCTTCAACAAATTCATCTAATAATAATAGTAATAATGAAAAAGATTTTGAAAAAGAAACACAATCATCTACTGACGTTTCTAACAAGAAAAAACCTGATTGTATACCATTTTCACAACCAGAACGAACAGATTATAAAATTTTACATGAAGCACGTGTTATACATGATTATGAAGCTGAAAATGAAGATGAACTTAATTTAGTTAAAGATGAATATATATCCGTTATTTCTTTTTACAATGAAGAAAATAATATACGCGATAATGGTTGGGAGTATGCTGAAAAATCCGATGGAACTATTGGACTTTTCCCGGTTAATTTTGCTGTACGATTGTATGATAATGAAAAGAAACAATAGACAATGAAAAATAAAAATACGATTGTATTACAAGAGATTTATTTTCTTTTGCTTCGTTTTTATCAATAACACAAAAAAGCATTCAAAGACATTTGTATAGTTTTAAAAAAAAGTGAAGTTGCTAATTAATAATATACAATATGCGACAGATGTTTTGCTTTCATGTTCTAATTTGACATTAAAAATCATACAGATTACACAGTATCTAATATATCTGAGAAGTATTTTTTCAACTTTTTTTATTTTTAGATAATTCTATAATTTGAATAAAAAAATATGCTATTAAAATACACTTTTTGTACACGTCTAAAACAAGAATTGTAACCGGTCTACTGGTTTTCTTGTTTTTTGCGAGCGCGAACGTATACACTGTCATTTGTCTTCGCATTTGTATACGCAAAAAGAAAAGAGTCGATAAAATAGTTACTACTCTAAATCAATCAAATTATAAAAAGCAACCTATTGAATGTAACCGATTCATTTTATTTTTTTTTTAATCTATACTTCACCTCTGTATATTTTTAGAAAGTTCGAATACACTTATTCTTTTCATACCATTAATATGCAATTATCCAAGTAATATTGCTACTGTATAGATTAAACATAAAAATAGAACTATTCATTTATGTTATGCCTATATTATTAAATAAATACAATGCCTTTTTTGACATTCTTTCATTATAAAATTCATCGAATGGAATTACAATTTATTGGTGTGTTATCGTCCGTCTTGTTGATGTTTGAGACTGCATCGTAGAGAAATTAGAGTTGCACAAAGATCATAATTGAAGTATGTATGTGCGTATACATCATCTAAGATATACATAGTCACTATTAAGATTGAATTATGGATCATCATATAAGGCAATTATCAACGGTTAATTATCGTTTCTCGCATATTTATACTTTTCGAATACCGTCAAGTTTCGAAAAACAAAGTGCAGACATGCACTCGTCATATAGAATCTCAGCAAGTATTTTTCTTCAATTCAAAATAATGTAATGTTTCAACGTCTTCATCTGATGTCTTTCGGCATTCATTCTCAATCCTTAGAACTATATTTTAACTCTACAATATGAATGTATTTCCGTCTATTCTAACAATGAAAAAATGACAATATTTTCAAGACGATTGCAAAGAAGCAATTTAAACAATTTCTACGAGAAAAGGATTCAAAAAGACATAAAAAGAACAGAGATGGGCAAACTAGTTAGGAACTCTTCCGGTAATTATTTTTAGCCACAGAATATGGCTTTAATTTGAATGCAGTATTGTTCAGAAATATTCAGACTACAAAAATAGCATGTTCAACAGAAAGCTTTCTACGTTTAGAAGTATCATGTTACTTGTCTAAGCGTGATAACTTTGAAGTCATCGCTTCTAAGACGACACCGCAGTGTATCGGATTTAGAAGAATCCCTATTAAATATGTCATGTTGCAGCCTGAACATTTTTGAACAGAACTACGTTTAAATTAGATCCATATTAGTTAGCTGAAAAAAACCACAGAAGATTTTCTACGCGACTTGAAAAATGACTAGCTCATTTCTGCAAAAACAAACCTTGTCATTATTTTTGTTTTCAGATGTCTGATATATGGTCATTAGGTATACAACGTCTTCTTGCACGTGTTAATTCATTTCATCAACCAGGTCTATCTTCCTTCTTCTTGAATTTGCTTCAATTAGAATTCTATTGATAGGTTCAAGTAAATCAAAATGTAAATCGTTTTTATGTCATACTGAACATATTGGATGGATTCGTGAAGATGCTGCAAATCAACTTCGTCGATATTCAAATGTTTTTATTGAACATTCAGATCGGTATATGGAAAAAAAAAGAAAATACAATAAAATGTATGAAAATAAAAGTATATTTCTTTAGATTTACGTTAGCAGATCACTTAAATACTTATGAAAGTCGCTCAGAAGCTGTTGCTAAAGTTTTAAATGATATGCGTGCAAGAGATTGTTTAAAAACATTACGAGGTTGGCGAGATGAAGTATGTATTAATGATAATATTTTGATAGAAAAAAAAAGAAAATATGATCATTTTCTTTTCTTTTTGTTATTCAGCTGTATCTAGTAAAATCAACTTATAACAGATCACCATTATTTGAAATCGAACGATCTGCTGCAAGTACGAAAAAAAAAACTTCTTATGTTTAATCAATTCGAAATATGTTTCTTTTCTTTTTTTTAGGTATCTTTGGTATACGAAAATATGGTTCACATTTAAATGGATATGTTATTGATGATGATGGGACATGGCGTATGTGGATTGGAAAACGATCGGCAACAAAACAAACTTTTCCTGGCATGTATGATAATTTAGTAAGAAAGACATTTTGAAAAAATATCCACATTAATTTATATATTTGTAATAAATTTTTCCTAAGGCGGCAGGTGGTCTTAGTCATAATTTGACACCAACAGAATGTATGATCAAAGAATGTGAAGAAGAAGCCCAAATTCCTAAAGCATTAGCAACTGAAAAATTGAAAGCAGTCGGAGCCATTAGGTATGTATAAGAAAAAGTATATCTTATTTACTATGAATTATAGCCAAGATGGAGTGTGAGTGTAATTAAATAAAATACACTTATCTATGCACACCTTTAAGGTCTAAAAGGGGCCTGAAGGTGTAAAGTGAGTAAGGGGTAAAAAACATCAAAGCCATATTAGCTTGAAACGCATAAAAGTAAAACAAAATAAGTTTAATTTCTCGTGGACATCTCATTCAAATTTCGTATAGATTCATGAAAATTTTTAGATATTTCAGATATTTTGTTATTCTTTGTATAAAATCATTCGATCATAAGAACTGTTACATTATATACTATGAATTACAAACATAAAACGGATTCGTCCACTTGAATTCATTCGATTACTCATTAAGATTTATTTTTCAATTAACTTACGATATAAACCTATTGATCATGATTAATCTAACCGTTGAATCATTTCAAGCCTTTCTATTTTAAGAGCGTTGTCAAGTACAGTTCATATTGATTTATTATCGTCTCACGGAATGTGTTTTGATTGAATTTTAGTTTTGATGTATGTGTTAGATATAGCTTAACGAGTTATAAATTTTGAATCCTGTAAAAATATTATGAATAAAATTTGTTTTTCATCAAGATAATACAACGATGATTAATCATTTTATTCTCAATTAAAATAATTGTACGATAAACAGTATTTATGAACATAGTCGTGATTAATTTTATCGTAACAGTTAGTTCAAGTTTTGCTTATACAAATAATAAACAAAAAAACAAAGTGCTGAGGTCGAATAATTGTTTGTAGTCAATACATGAAGGATTTCATATATTTTTATCTTTATGATTGGCCATCAAGGTCGAAGTGTCTATTGCATAAGTATTCAATCAAATTGCTCGCCCATCTAATAATAACATACACTGAAATAAAACGAGCCAAATAAAAAAAAAGAAACAGCTTTTCTTTTCAAGGAGAGAGAAAGACAGAAATAAAATATTCATATTCCAAAGTTTTATAAGTAATTATTTCAACAAAACATTGCTTAAATTGTATTTTAATACAATACAATAAAGAGAAATGAAACGTCAAATGAATCAATCAATAAGAAAAATTGCTTCTTATAATAATTAATTGTCGTACTTACAAAATCGAAAAAATACAATCAATGTTTTTTCTATTTTTTGTAAAATTCTATAAAGATTGAGATTTATTTCATGTTGACAATATAAATAGAAATTTTTTATATTAATCTTTAATTTAACATTGTTTCATATTTAGCTATTGTTACGAAGATGATGATGGTATACATCCTGAAGTGAGTGGATTAAAAGTACATAATCAAGATATGATCATTTTATTCATTTATCTTATAGGGAGAATTTCTTTATGACATTCAATTGCCAACTAGTTTTACACCAAATAATGCTGATAGTGAAATGGAAAAATTTTATTTATGGACAATACCTGAAGTATTATCTTGTAGAAAATTATTTTTTTTTTATTGTCTTCTATATCATTAGGTAAAACAAGCTATTATTGAAGACAATTTCAAGCCTAATTGTGCCGTGGCTGTGCTTGATTTTCTTATTCGTCATAGTTTTATCACGCCTGAACAAGGTTAAATTTAATTTTTCAAATGATATTAATTTTTTATTTTGTTTTTTGTTTATTAATATAGAATCCAATTACTTTGATATTCTATCACAAATACATATGCCTGGACATTAATCATTATTATCAAAAATGTACGAACATATGAAGAGCATACAATATTAACGATAACTGTAATCGAATTAACTATAATGAGTAATGAAGAAAAAAAAAATAAATAGGATATTCTTTGCTTTTGTCAATAAAGTCTATGTATTAATTTATATTAATAAGTATTGATATACACACACACACACAACGATCGAATAAAAAAAATGTTCCTAATAACATGTCATTGGAATAAACTTCTTTGTTGCTCCATCATAAATTTCAGTTATGTAATTTATTTTTCTATGTTGATTGGAGCCATAATAATTTGCAGGCACATTATTAATAATGTTCCATTGTTCTTGAGTAAGAATAAGCGAAGATTGATAATGAAAATTATGATTAGCATGTAAACGGTTAAGATCGTCTGTTTTAGATCGTGATATTTGCTTTGGAACTTGCTGAATATCATTTTTCCTTCTTTTATTTGATCGGTTGTTAGTTACTAATATATTATGTGACGATGAAGATTGAATTCGATTTGAACTTGGTTTTTGTGATTGTTTTATCTCAGATGGTTTTGTTTCTAAACGAATACCGTCCTTATGCGTATTTTCGTCACTAATGCCATCAGCTTTTGGTACTTCTTTGTATCGAACTGGCTCAATCTTAAGAAATCATAAAAAAAACATTTAGTAATTAGGATAGAGAAAGTGACTCATATACTTTGTCTGGAGTTGATTCTTTTGATGCAATTTGAATTGGAATGACATGTATTGAGCTAGTACTTGATGAGGATCGCATATTTGATATTGATGGTAACCCCACACTTGATCTTGATACTAAACCAGTATCTGATGTTGATGATAACTCCACACTTGATGAATTTACTGATGATATATTAGCAGCTTTAGAAAGTGGAAGAGTTGGATGCTGTGCTGGAGTTGATTTAGGTGAAACTGTTGATTTCACAGGTTGAGCAACTACAGGTGGATGATGTTGAATTGGAATTTCAGTTGGTGCTGCACTCTTAACAGTTTGACGGGCAGCTGCTTCTTGTTGTTGTCGACGACGTTCGATAAGAAAACGATCATAAACTATTAATTGTTTCAGAAAGCCGTCATTAGGTATAACACATGGACGAGCTTTAACAACATGAATAAGACATTGTTCTAATGAAACATTATATGTACGCATAAGATAGGCAATAACAATAGCAGGTGATCGACTATAAAAATGAATAAAAAAATTCAATTATATTTTTCTTTCGTCTTCATTTAAAAATCTATTTATTTACCTTTGTCCATGACTACAATGAACTAGTATACGAGATCTTACACGTCTAGCTTCATCAATAAAGGCAAATGCTTGATCAAATGCACGTAAAATATTTTCTCGATCGTCATCACGAAGATCAATAGTAAGTGTACGCATGTCATTAGGATAATATGGACATAATTCAACATCACGTTTAGCTACATTGAGGATATAACGGATGCCCAATCTTGATAACCGATGAATATCATGTGCTGAAATGCAATTGCCCAGAAATAGATAAGGTTCCAATACAAGTGATGGTTCTGTGACATTGTAATGCGTTTTAAATAGTCGATGAAGTCTATTAAGACGTGCTTCAGATGCTAAAGCCTGACTAAAATTTGATGCTCCTCCAAATGATGTCTGTGCTGTAGTGAACATTTTATATATGATTGAATATTTGATGATTAAGTGAGTGATACAAATAGTAGGACGAACAAATGACAGTGCAAACGAGTGTGTGTGTACTGGGTCCTTCTCTTTATTTGTTTCTTTTCTCTCTCTTTGCTCGCTCACTTTGTGTCCCTGTTTTATACTACTTCGATTTGAAGTAGTGTGCGAGTATCCGTGCACGCCCACATCACCATTCATAGATATATAAAGATAATATTAAAAGTAAACGGAATACGCTGACACAGTGATTGAGTATGCATAATGAGAGAGGAAAAAGCATCGATAGCGATGAGCGTGTACGATAAGAACAAATCAAGATATAAAAATACTAAAAGTATTAAAAAAGCGATCATTTGTGTCCGATATCAACGAAAAGAAAAAAGATACAAATCTTTTTCGAACAGTGATAACAAAATAAGCATTGATTTCTCCTTTTGTTGTTTATGTATTCAAGCAAACTATATTTATTGGAAAAATCTATTCATGGTGTCAAAAAGAAAACGATTAGACCTTGAAATTGATTAGTTGTATGTATATTTTGTTTGTCTGATTTCATTGAAAGGCCAATTAGTGGGGCATATCCTTCTTGTATTTCTCACCCACTAATCGTCTAGATCATAAATAAGTTGTATTCAATAGAATCAATGCATAGTAAGTTCCTTATCAATAGTTTCTTTTTAATAATCTTCCAAAAACAAACAAAGACTGTTTTTCATACATATACACACAACAAACAATAAAAATTCCCAAGACACATAAGAAAAAAGTTTAAAACAATTAACGATAACAAGATGATCAAACTTATTAGATGGATATTCTCTTGAGCATTCCATGAACAATAAGCAAACAAAAACAGAATAAATAAATAAATATATTTATAACCATATGTATGAATGTATGTGTGTGTATATATTGTCAAACAGAAAAAAAAAGAAAACAAAACAACGGAAAATCTTTTTTTTTTAAAACAAAAGAAATAAAGCTAAAATTGATGGTAAATATTTGTAATCAATCAAATTCAATCTTTTGTCTTTTTTTTAATATTTATTTTCGTCCTGTAAAACCAAATTCATTTGCATCATCTTCAATTTGATCCGAATATTGCCAAAGACCAATGCGTGAAGATTTTGCTTTTGCTTGTGCTTGTTGTAATTCATCATATAACGGTGTGAGACGTAATTGACGATTACCACGTCCTTGTGCAATAACAATAAGACCTTGCTCAGCTAATATTTTGATGAAGTTTTCTTTTGTATTAGCACGATAAAGTGATACATGTTCAGTATTATTTTGACGATATTCAACTTTCATTAAACATTCTTGATTGTCGATTTCCTCAAGTAAGGCATTTTTAGCATATTGACGATCATCTTCATCAGGTGGAGGTCGAACATAGGCTAATTCACATTCATGAGCTTGAGCTGGTAATTGTGAAAAACCTATAATATACAAAAGAATAAGAATAGACATTTGCATCTATGTTGTCAACGACTTAGAAAATTACAAATGAAGAGAAATGAAGCTAACGAGGCAACATTTCTAGGTAATCTACTTTATTTATCTCTATATTTTGCTTTATGTAAGAGATCACTACAATAGCGTAAAATTCAAATGATTCCTGCTCATATTAAGACTTGATCGAGATAACGAATTGCCAGTAGCTTTCTCTTGCAGAAATCTAGTTTTCGAAAAAAAACCATATTTACGAATTTTGACCTGCAACCTTGTTCACATTAGGTTCTCGATTAAACTATTTCATGTATAAAGTTTCAGACTGCAATTTCCAAACATGATTTTGTTCGAAAATTAAACTTCAATAAGAGAAATCTACTGAAAATTTGTTATCTTAACCAAATCTAAACATAAGAAGAAATCCTTAGGAGGTTATATTATTCTCGTCATGTCATACATATGCGCATAATATAAGAGCGAACGGAGCGGATCACCTGGGAATGTCCTTTGTACATTATTTCATCCTCAATGACCTATCAGTCTATTGTTATCGCATGACTTGTTTCAGTTAGTCAATTCATCAAGAGCAACTTTTTCAATACAACCAGTTGTTTAAAAAAACAAGGTGCATATCATATGGGCAGTACAGAAAATCGGTTGTCATCTTCGATTCTTCACACATTCAGCAGACTACCAATTTTTGTTTAAGACCGTTGATTATTATTGTTGTATACTGAAGTACATCTCATTTTTATCATGTAGAGTGTACGTTAACAATAAAACGAATTTCGAAAATCGTTTTTTCTTTATGGACATTGGATCAAAATATTTTGAGGCTTTAGTAAATATGGAATTAGCTTCAAAAAGTATATTTCTATTTAGTAAATGACTCTTTATGTTCTACACTCGCTTGAAGCTTCATAGCATGGTTCTTTTTTTACAAGAATTTATCTAGATAACCTTTTTCTATCTATGAAAATTACATCATATCATTTTTTTATGTTAATTGAAAAAAGTTCAATAAATACATACCAGGTGGTAATGTTGTAAATCGACTTAAATCAGTAATTAATTCTCGATTACCATAATCGACAAAATATACTGATATACGATTGTTTCCTTCAATTTTTTCGACTCGTGCACGATACCATTCATTATCAGCTGTAAAACGTGCAGCTAATAATTCACCTTTTTTCGGTGTATGTCCTCCAACAGGTTTAGTTTGATTATATATTTCACGTAATTCAGATTGTAATTGTTCAACTTTAGAACCTTGTTCAGAATATTGCACATAAACTTTTAAATCTGTTGTTACATAAGTAACAACAACACGACGAAATCGTGGATCATTAAAATTAATTATACCTGATCCTAATACAGTTTCCTCTGCTGTGTCGATGGAAATAGAAACGGAAAAGAAAAAAAATTTTTATTTATTTTTGAATAACTCAAAGAAAAAAGAATAAAAATTACCTTCAGGATTATTTTCACCTTCATTTTCATCCTCATCTTTTGATGCAGGTTCTTCATAATTAGTCCAAACACCAATACGATCTTTTCGACATTTTTCTTCAGCTTCTAATAATTGTTTATAATTTGGTGCACCATAGGCTGAATCATGAACTTTAGCAAGACCACCTTGAACAAGCATAAGAGCAGCTGAATGTCCATCAGCAGTTGTTAAACGACCAATAAAGTTACCACCACGATCCATATTTTCAACTTCCACAAAAACATCTCTAGAAAGAAAGAAAATCAAGATAAGGTTTTTTTGGTATTTTTTTTATTTAATTAGTCGGAAGAATATATTTCCGATTTATTAGAAATTTTAAATCTACCGTTGTAAGAAATGTTCTTTTGAAAATGTTAAAGCTTCAGCACCAAATGGTTCACCCGGTTCAACTTTTTGTTGTTGAGGATTTCCACTAACAGGAACACGTCTTTCAGCACGTGGACAATTAATTGAGGATAATAAAAATGATATTATCCAATTATCTTTTAATAAATGTACGCGAAAACGAGAACCACTTGCAACAAATTCAACAACACCTTCCATACGACCATTACGTTGAAGAACACTTAATAAACCTTTAGCTCGTTCTTTATTTGTATCACCAGTCATATCAACAATACGATAAAGACCACTACCACTTGAAAATAATCCAACACCACGTTTTTCTGCTTGTTGTTCAGCAGTAAGAAGATCATCTGATGAATTAAAAACCAAAAAAAGATAAAAGATTAATTTCTTTAAATAAATAGATAAAGAAAAAGCTTACTGACCATAATGAGATGATCGTTGTTCATCATCTTGTCGATGTCTTACAGTTTTTGCTAAACCTTTTGAAATTAAAGCTTCACCAAGATTAACATTACCAGCATAAACAGTACAACAAATTTTTTCCGGATATTCACTGCTTGCTGGTTGAATATAGTCCGTAACAACACGTACAACTTTACCAACTAAACGTTTACGTAATAATTCACGAGCTTCAAATAAATATGGAATTTCATAGAGTGGTCGTTTTATTTGTTGACGATTAGCATTTGGATTATTTTCATCATTTTTTTGTTGAATATCAGCAGCACGTGGTGCACGAACAGATGAAAGATAGATTTTTTTAATTTTATTATCACGTAAATCACGTATAGTTAATGCATCACCATTGATTACTTCCAAAACTTTAGCCTGAAAAAAAATTTATAAGTCAATTATAATTGTATCATTTGTTTTTATTATAATATAAATGAGATACATTCGAAAGAAATATTAATTATATTTACCTGATATCCTTTCAACGATGGATCATTTGGTTTTCCATTACTTGCAGCTGAACCTGCATCACTACTAGCATTATTGTCATTATCAACATGACCTGGTTGTGGAACATAATTTTTCCAAATTCTTAATCGATTATCTTTCGCGTATTTTTCTGTAGCACGATATTTTTCTCTCCATCCTTGTTGTAATAAAGTTAAACTCCAATCAACACATTTAGCTAGACCTTCTTTTAATAGATGTAATCCAATATTTCCATTTGGATGTAATAATGTTCCAACTAAATTTTGATTATTAACTCCATCTAAAATAACTTTAACTTGTCGTTGTAATAAACGTGTATCAACATATTGTTTAGCTTCTTCAGCAAACAGTTCATTTGTTTCATTTGTTGAACTACCTTCACGTTTTAACATAGGACATTTAATACCCGTTAATTGTATTGTTACTAAATAATATGATGGTAAAAGAAGACAACGTACAGTATTACCATCACGTACAAATTCAACAATAGCATCCAACGGTGGTTGTGATTTATGTTCATCAACAAATTGTTTAGGATTTTCTAATGTCCATTTCATATTTCGTACATGGACATCAGCTATTTGATCTGAATATCGTCCACGTTTATTTGCTTTAGTTTGTTCATCAATAATTTGTAAACGTTGATATTTAGGATCATTTGCACGTGCACCAGTTTGTTGTCGTAATTCAACAAGACCTTCAGATAATAATGATTCAATAATATTTTCACCTGTTTCTTTATCTTTTCCTAAATAAACTGTACACATTAAACGATTACTTTGTGGTATTTGAAAATCAATTGTATAACATATTTCTCGACCAACTAATTTTTTACGTAAAAATTCTCGCGTTTCAAATGCATATGGTTCATCAACAGTTGATCCACCAGCACCTGTATCAGTTGGTGGACGTGCTAATTTAGGTGCTGTTATATAATTGAATGAAATTCGTTGTTCATTTTCATTAGCTGATGAACGTGTTAACGGTTTAATAACAAGTGTGTCGCCGGAAAAAATTGATTTAACAATAGCATGATATACTGTTGTTGATGATGGTTGATTTGTCATTATTGTTTGAAATAAAACAATTTTAAAACAAAAAAAAAACCAGCTGATAATCTGAAATAAATAGTTTCTGTTCAAATATAAAGGACAAAAATTTTTGTTTTTTTTTATTTATTTTCTTTTCTCTTTTTTTTGTACATATACAAATACAATAATAAAACAAAATAATTTAATCAGGATGAGATAAAGATAAAGGTGGGCGAAATTCAATCATAAGAACATACTCTTGTACAGCATTATTTGGACATTTTTGTTTTGTTAAATGCCAATGTAAACCCAGTTTATGATAGAGACGTGCATTTTCCCAATCAAGAATTTTACTTACAGCATCTTTTGAACGTTTATTTAAACATAATACAGGACATAATGAAAGTCCTATTGTACAACAACAACATATACAACCACAAAGTAGCCTTAAATAAATAAATAATATAAATTTTTTATGCACAAAAAACAAATAATTTACCATTTAAAATTAATTGGAACATTTTTACGTAGAATTAAATTAACTCTTTTGATCGTTTCTTGATATTCATCTCGTGATACTTTATGTGTTAAAGCTTGTGGATATTCTTCATCAAATTTATTATTTAATGCAAATACAGTTACATGACCAGCACCACGTATAATAATTGGTTCAGCTAATCGTGGTATATATGTTGGTAATATATCATTACTGTCATCATTTAATGTATATTGATTTGTTCTGGATACTTCAAGTGAATTTTGTTCAGGAATAATATCCACTTCATTCATATTCGAAGTTTTTTTTTGTTTTTCTTGTTTATTATTGAGCCATTGTCTAAAAAAATGAAAAATATTTATTTTTAAGTATGCAGAATCTTTTGTAGAAAATAATATATTTAGATATTTTATCATAGTTCATATTTACGGTTTTATTTTTCTTACGAATAATGAAGAAATAGTTCAAGTTTTCCGATGGAGTCGTTTTTTTAAACAAAAACGATTGTTTTATTTTTTTCTTAGTTGTTATATTTTTTTGTATGATCGCTCTTCGGTCTATATTCTCTATGATATCGAGATAACAGCACAGTTGTACTTTGTTCCCATAGTTGAAACGATTACTTTCGGTAGTAGAACAATTACGTCGCTTGCTCATTGGTAAAAGAAAGAAAATTTCTGTAATTTTTTTCCCGGTTCTTTTGTTTACTCAATAGCGGCAAATGCTTCAACAAGAATACTTGGATGACATTGAATAGATAAGGTCATATATCATGAGTATTGGTAAAGTTCATAAGGTTTCTATCAAATTTTTATAATGTATAATGAAACATTGAAATTTAAATTATATTTTAATATTTTACCATAGGTATCATATTTTTTTTGTGTTAAAATTAATTTACTTTCTATGAATCCATACCTGCTTTAGAATAGTTATTATGATTAATGAGTTATTTTTTTAATTTACTATTCATATACTAAAAGCAAAAGATATAAAAATAAAAGAACTTCATGTACTGTTGTCATTTTCTACGAATACGTTTTTTTCTTAGTGATTGAGATCAGCATAAAAAAAGATGCATCAGTTAAACTTACCTGCTAATTATAATCACCACTAATATATGAATATTTCTTAACTGTCGGCATTATCATCGTCGAATAATAGTGTAAGAACTAAAATTATTGTTTCTAATTATTAACACAATAATTGAAATAGAGTCTAATGACAGTGATTAGATTAATAAGACAACTTAACCCTTATGATTAATTAAATCTGAAAAACAAAAAACAAAGCTAAAGATTTGTAAATACAAATTTTGTTTTTGTATATTATTTTTTCTTTTGTCCTTTCAACTGAGCAGCTGCTTGTTCTTCAGCTATTCTTGACGCTGCTTTTGCTAATTTACTACGTTCAGAAACAAGTTTAGCAAATAATTTCATATCTGTTTCTTTATCTTTTGCATCAGGTACTGGTGCTAATGGATCAATTGCTGGTGCTGCATCACTTTCACTTGTACTCTCTGTTGTTGATGCCATGCCCATCAATTTTTGTAATTGTTGATGTGCTTCTACTTTCTTAGCTGCTTTACGCGCTTTCTTCTCTTCAGCCTTTTGTGCTTCTTCTAATTGTAACAACATAAATTGCATACGCTCATCATCTGAATCCACTGAAAATCCATAAAAATCACGTGCTTGTTCAGCTAAATCATTTTTAACTTTAATTTCAGCTTTTTTAGCACGTTCACTTTCAGTTGTTCGTTTACGATAATCATCTATCATTTTTGGCATATTTTTTAGATTTTTTTCAACTTTAGCTTGACTGGAAAAAAGATATAGAATCAAAAACAAAAACAAGAATATCAACAACAATAAAAGCGAAATTATCTTTATCTTACATTTGATCGAATTCTTTTTGTTTGGTTTCACGTCGCTCTTTAACTATTTTTATTTTCTCACTTAATTCCATGTTGTATACACGTTCATCATCCATGGTCTCATCCATTTCATCTTGTGTTGGCCAACAAAGTTTTGGATCTATACCTGTTTTTCGGCCGTATTTACCCCAAAGTGCACGTAGTTTTGTTCGAGTATGATATTGTTCTTTAATTTCAAGTGGTGGTAAACCTATCCTATAAATATTTAGATATGCAAGAAAGAATGGATTATTTTGTTACCTTTAAAATGTCGATAGACATCATCTGGTAAACGCGAAATATTTCTATTTATATTATCATTGATATCGTTATCACCATCTAATGATGTCGGTAAAGTCTCATTTGTTGTTGAAATGGAACGAATTTGCAAAATCGAAACCGAAAAATGATTAATGAACCGTACACATCGAGGACACAATACAGTAGTCAGCATTCGAAGAATATCTGCCGATTGATGAAAGACTCACTATAGAATAGAATATAACAGACGAATAGATCCAAACACACATCTATGATGACGACGACGACATGATCAGATTTATTGAAGTAACCAATTAGAAATGTGATGGTGTTGGAAAGTGTGGTTAAACTATTAAATATGTTTGAGAAAAATGAAGTGATAGTACACGCAAAACCTTTAAGATATTCGAATATAAATAATCAAAATGTTTGTTACAAGACTCTTATGCTTACATGGAAATAGATGGCGCTCAAAACCGTCTAGTTAGACTACTACTGGTAAAAATACTTCGTAAATAGTTCGTTTTCAACCAATACACGAAAAAAAAAATTTTACCTCTGTACTTTCTTAATTTATTTAGTAGACTGAATACTTTTAGAGTGTGTTACATTCGATTATATACTATCAAAATATGCAATTTCATTCTATTGAACTGTTTTCTAAAGTTTTTTTCGGTGGAGAATAATGCAACAATACCGTAGGAAGAATCTTCTTTCATTCTATGTAGAGTTATTAATTCAAAATGCTTAGTATTCGCATCTAAAAATTATCTATTCATGTTATCGAAATCAAACGCATAAACTGATTTTATTGAATCTTCAATTTTTACAACAAAGATCAAAATACTAATTGTACTTTGATACACACTGGGTTAAATTTAAATAGCATACATATCTAAAGATATCAAACAGCAATTTAGAATCGTAAAAATAAGACCTAAGATTGATTTTGAAACTTGTTACACTTCACTTGCGTAACACTATTCGAATAATGCTCATGCAAAAGTCATGAATGAAAACAAGTAGGATTTGTCTAACAAAAATTTGTATGATGGATTCGTTATTGTTTAGGATTGACACAGTTTTACCCATTTTATCACTAAATGATTTGTTTCATGCATGAAACTGATTCAGTACAATAATCCAAAAAATCTATACAATCAACACATACAAATCATTTTTTTAAAGTATGGCAGCAAGGTTTGTAATAATCGATTGCAGCTACAAAACTAACAAAGGAACAAAACATGATACGGATCAACGAATTATGTCGTACATCAATAGTGATAATCTTACGTGTCATAGACAAAAATACGATTGTGCCAGCATGTATCATACTCGTTCTCATATTTTCAAAAGATCGAGGAACAAACTGAAGGTGTAACGTGTGATATTAAAATGCGATCTTGACTACTTATGAGAATCGTTCACATAATATTGGAAGCACTAATATTTTATACTAATGAAAACCTTGACTGAAAAGCATATCATTTCATACAGCAGTATATATTACAATTTATTAACAGTTAGAAGTGAGCGAGAAAAATACAAATAGTTGTTGAATATTTGGACGACATAACTAGAATTTCTAGTCGTTTGTTTATGCATACATTCTAGCGCAAGATTTTTGTGATAAAAACAAGTTATGACAGTTATCATATTGAAACAGAACAATCAAAAAACAGGTATCTTTGTAATATACAGAGCATGATTAATTTACAACTTGGCAGATATGTCACGTTCCTAGTCATTCAAGGTCAATCTCATGGTTTTTTATTATGATAACTATAACTCAACAGTTTATTCGATACAAATCAGAGGTCCAAACAGGCCACTAGGCCTATCGGCCTTCCTGCCTGTCCCAGGCGCAGACCACGCTTTTTAGGCCTGTGCCTGGGACAGGCAGGTCAGGCCGCCTGGTCTGTGTTGTTTTTTCACATGATAAAATTTGATCTCATAAATGGAAGATGTTGCTAGGATTCAAGTGTAGTGAAGTAATTTTATCAGGGAACTGAATAATTAGTCTGTCTTGATTGTGATCGGTTGAAATTAAGGTTGATCATGACTGTAAATCTTATCGTTGGTCTGTAATCTGTGTTCTTGTTTAACTTCGTTACTTTCCTATTTTTGATTTTGGCTATACTTATATTCAAAAGTTTTCAACGATATTTTCTCGTTAATGATTGATGTTAATCTGTCATCTTCAATCGTTATTGATGATTCATCATCTCATCCACAACAAAAATGAGCAATTTACAACAACAACAATTGAAAATTTAATAATTACTATTGATGATCATCATGAAGCTAGATGCTGAATATTAATTAAACTAAATGTGGATTTCATTTTCTGATTAGAAACAGAGTACTTTCGTAAACGTTGCCTTCAGCTTCTATTATCCATTTCAGAATATAGTGCCCTCCACTACTTTTTGAATAACTAAAGAGCCAACAGCTAGAGACCTGTGGTTTTCACCAATCGAAAGAAAAGATAGGGAGACGCCTTTTTTCCAATGTTGTATATGACGAAATCATTTTAAAATTAGTCATGCCTGCAAGACATCGAAAAAAAAAGTATAAAAACGGCTTATCATTCAGATGAAATTTTGACAAAAAATAAGAAAATATTCTTAAAAATTAAAAGAAATCTATAGTTTTTGTGCGATTGAATAGATCATTTGGTTTGTTCAACATTAAGATGTCGGAAGATAATCATATTCAAATTATATCTTGAACTATATCATCATCAGTGTACTCGCTTGAAAAATAAATAGACAGGCAGGCAGGCCAGGCCGAGGAAAAAATTGACAAGCGCAGGCAGGCTGCAAGGACGTAAGCCAGCCACAGGCAGACCAGGCCTGCAAAAACACAGCCTGTTTAGACCACTGATACAAATTATTATAAGATATATGCTGACTCACGACGTTAGAGGAATTTTCCGATTAATATATTAGAATTACACTATAAGGTAAAATGTTCGAAAAAGTCGATACATTGTACAACACATCCATGATACTATTTGGTCGGATTCAAATTTACTCATGGTTATATTTTAAAATCATATTCGAATAGCGAGCCTTTTGCCCATGCCACTTTTTTATATTTCAAAACCAAATTTAC